CCAAAAGCAATCCTACTCCCAGTGGCCTGTAAGGAACTGGGTCATGATTCCTAGATTTTGGTTCCACTGCTCGTGCTTCTGTCAGAGCTTGCCCGAGGTCTTCATCGTCCACAGCTCTGGCTTCTACCAGCCCTTCTTCCTGGACAACAACAAAAGGCTGTACACTATTATCACCAGCCCCACTTGGCATGTTTCCAACTTCCAACATATTAGAAGTCTCTGGGTTGTTAAAAACTTCCCGCATGTGAGATGTCTCTTGGTTGTTCCCGCGAGGTCTCACTGGATAGGCCCCTGGTTCTTGGTTTGTCTGGACATTTCTATCTCTTTGAAGTCTAGTGGCTGGTAGTGGTTCTGGCAACTGTGTCTGTAATAGGCTGAAGATTGCTGATCCAGTGAGATCCCGTGGTACATTAACAATGTGGCTTTCTCGCTGCTCTTCCTCTTCTTGCTCAATTCTATCGTTCTCTTCCGTTAGTATTGGTCCTGGTACTCCTCCCATTGCGTAGGCACCTGGTTGACCAAAGCCTCTGTGATTATTGTTGTTCTCAGCATTCTTACGAGCAACAAATATATTCACAACCTCATTTTCTACAGTCTTCTCAGTAGCAATGATAGCTTCGAAGGTTCTACCCTCTTTTTCCAGTTGATTGGCTGTAACGACTCCAGTGGCTACCGCTTCTGCCGGTGCCCGTCTGGATTGAATTGCTTGTTTGTGATTTGCTGAGGTTTTGCTGTCTGCTGCTACTTGTTTTTCGTCAGACTTGTCCAGGTTTCCATTGATTTTACCTTGCTTTTCCTTTGGGAAAAATGATAGCCGACCACTCTGCCGGGTGTTGCTGGGTCGAGCTTCCATGTCTGTGAGCGCCATTGAAGCAGTCTCAAGCTCTTCCTGTCTGTTAACTTCATCATCCACAAGCTGCTCAGATCCTGCTGCCAAACCAACTCCTTCGGTGGGTCCAACTCGATCGTTCACGAGCTGCCCATCCCATCCTTCTGCCAAACTGGCTCCTTCTGTGGGTTCAAACTGGTCCATCGTACGATAAGTATACTTTCTGCTGCTGCGAATCCGACGACAACAACAACAAAAAAGTGGGCGAAGGAGGGGGAAATGATGCTGCCGTCTGGACCTTCGTGGTGAAACTATCACATGCAAGATTGCTCGTGGTTTAGTCAAAAGATTCCGTTTGTTTCAAAGATTTAGAGTCCTTCCCTTTTATTCATTCGATTCTGTGCATACAGCATCTTCTCAATCCTCGATGAGACATGTATCTCACGCGAGGCCTGCTAGTAGGTATCTGTAGTTTTAAAAATAATAATAATACGCCAAAGTGGACACATACTGTACTGTACATCTTCACTAATACCACTGACATCGGCTCTTATTCATTATTTAAAAAATTTAGTCAGCTTTATGTACAGTGTTGGCCGCTCTCAGATGGTGCTCAGATACCGGTACCTCATACACGAGTACGCCTTTGAAGTTCTATATCCTGTCAGATTGGTTGACCTTTCTAGTACCCTTACCTGGTACAACTTCAACTTCAAGAAAAGCGGGCAGACTTGGTGACTTCATGGACTAACGCTCTAAATGTACTTTTCTTCGCAGACCACAGACCGCAGATAACAGATACACAGATACTACCGTATGGCCATACCGGTACTGTAGAAGCAGGTTCGCGGCTCTGTGCCATAATCGATGGTGCCAGCGGAACAAAAGAGCCACGAGCCACGAACTACTAGCTATTATTGCCCTCAACGGACTGAGGGTCTTTCACACTTTTATCGCTGTATGTGTGTGTGTGTGTGTGTGTGTAGGTGTGTGTACGTTGAGTGCTGTGTGAGATGTGTGATGTTGTG